ATTTAAATCAGTTTTTATATTCAGCACGAAATCAATTTTCGTTAAAAATATTCAATCCTCCGGTGAATTTCCACGTTTCCGGGTTACCGGAGCCTCCGGGCTGAGTTTGTAGGCAAATTGTTTGGAATTTCAAATATGATTTTAGTTTTCGGTTGTTTTACATAATTTTGAAGCTAGTTACAAATGTTTTTCATAAAAATCCAGAGATAATTTCCAAAAACTCTTGTATGTGGAACAAATTAATTATTAATTAGGTTATTATCATTACTTCGATTTTTAACAAAATTATGACATTGAAAAAAAACCACAATTTTTTGAAACACCATTCGTCGTAGAGTATTTTAACTGTTTTTTTTTCTTTTTTCTCTAATAATTAATATTTTGTCAAATTTATCTCTCATTTCTGTAAATTTTCTCATCTACTTTAAATAATTTTCTAAAATAGACGTATTAGACGTATTACTAATAAGTAATAAAACACAATTCTCTGACAAAATTCAAATCAGTTTTTATATTCAGCACGAAATCAATTTTCGTTAAAAATATTCAATCCTCCTGTGCATTTCCACGATTCCGGATTACCGGAGTCTCCAGACCTGAGTTTGTGAGCAAATTGTTTGAAAATTCCAAATATAATTTTAGTTTTCGTATATTTTACATAGTTTTGAAGCTATTACAGATTTTGTTTTTCATAAAAATTTTGAGATAATTTCTATAAACTTTTCTTAAATTTGATCACGAAATTCAAGTTTGGTCTAATTTATTTAGTTACTACATATCATTTACTTCAATTTCTGACAAAATTATTACAAAACTGAAAAAAATTCGATTATTTTATTGAAAAAACGTAATTGAATTTCAAAAAATCAATTTATAAAGTGATAATTAATAAAAACTAAATTGGTATAAAACATGTGATCGTATTTTGAGAATATAATTTGTTCTGTTTTTTGACAAAAATGCAACTTATATAAAAAAATTGATCAAAATAGAATAAAATGTTTAGCCTTTTAAAAAAAAAATTCTCGGGCACTATTCGTCGTAGAGCATTTTAACTGTTTTTTTTGTATTTCCTATTTTTCCTGTATAATTTTGCAGTTATTTGTTAAGCAATAAACCCTGTCACAATTTCAACAAAGCGCAAAGCGTTAAGACTTTATTATTCCCTAATTTTGAAGCAACGCTTGATTGAAACTGTGATTGGCACTCAATTCCAAGTTAAAAAAATGTGTTTATTTACTTTCCGTAGAGTAACAAAATTCCCTAACAATACGAGATTGGCTTTCCGACTCCACGCATCCATTTAATAACACCGGATTAGCGTTAATTAGTAATTTCATTCGAAAAGGGAATTGCAGATTAAGCCTTTGTGTCAATTAGAAATCATCGATTGCTGTTTATGCGAGTTGTAACAAAATATTTTGATGATAACCGACTCCATAGTGGGGCGTTTCTGGGTTATCACTCCAATATTGTACAATTATTGCAGCTGTGATTTATTGCAAAAAAAGTTTGTTCAACTGGAGACCAGCCAAGCAAAGTTTTAAATCACTCCAAGCAACATTTCAAGAATTATCGAATCAACAAGTTGAAAATAGTATGCTACTACAAAGTAGAGAAGAATTTAAGTTTTGACAAAAGAGACGATTTAGAGGTGGGGCACGAAACATTTGGTAAAAATCGGTCGCACCTTTCAATAAATTCAAATTAAAAAATTTAAAAAATGTTATAAAATAATAATAATAATAGGTACCAAACTAAAAAAACTGCACCCCAGATTCGAACCCGCGACAAGTATGATCTATTTCGCGTGTAATCCAGCAGGTGGCACTAACGTAAACTAAATTGTGGTCGTTATTAGGATGTTTTCCAAATAAGTAGGATAAGGAAAGTCGTGTGATGTTCACACCAATTTTTTTATGTGATTTTGCGTTCATTTCATCCCTTGGTCAATAATGTGAATTATTTTTGACCACTAGGAGAGAAAAACAACGTCACAACCTCTCGACCAACTAAATAATGGTATCTTTTTACAACTAGTAGTAAAAAATGAATTTTTGGTTCGCAAATAACAGAGCAATCTAATAAATGTAGTCTCGCCGTAATTGGTAGTAAACAGAAATTATTTCTCTCAAAGTAAGGATGACGTTTCTCTGTTAAGTACACAATTCAATTAATTTAGTTAACGAGGACATAACTACAGTCTCGCGAGACAGAATAGTAGACAGTATTTGAAAAATAAATTCAGAAAAATTCACCCAAATTCGGTTTTGGGCCAATTTTACCAACAATTTTCATTCTGTTTTGTTCTCTCAAGTAATGAAAACTGGGCCGAAAATTAGTTCAACGAAACTTCCTCGGACTTATTAAATGTTGAAATATTTTTGTTTAATTTATTACCGAATAAATGAGACGAAATTTATGCTTGTTTTTATTATCCTTGTAAAATTTTAGGGATTTATATCACTAATTAAGAATATGATTTTCGTCGAGTTTACGACGACTCTAATTTCGTTCACTTAATCTAATTTTCTAAATTGGTTAATAGACTTGCTGTTAGAACTGTTGGGCCAGTGGTGGTGGCAAATAATTCCACCCAAAATCACTTTGAATCAAACTCATCAGATTATATGCACGAAAAATTCGTAAAATATGCGCAAAAATATGCACAAAATACTAAAAAATATCCTCCAATATATGCCAAATATGCATCGATATGCAAAATTTTTAACAATAAAAAATCAAAGTTGAGATAAATTTTTATCCTCGAATCCACTAAACTTTGTATTTTCGTCATCTTGAACTGCACACAATAAATGAAAGAATAAATTAATTGGTTTGGCGTGAGACAAGCCATTTTAATAACCTAGTAATTAACCCTTTCTAAAAAATCTGTACTTTTCGGATCACATCACGTTTTTTGTCTAAAGTATTTATTTTTTGAAAAAACTAATTGATGAATTATAAAGTTCTATAGAAATGTGATGTTTTATCAAAAATAAAATTTTTCAAAATATTTTTTTTTTGTTTTTGAGTTCTACAAAAATATTTATTTTTTTAAATGGCAACCCAACAAAAAAACATTTTTCCCATGAAGGTCAAGATCTAAGGGATTAAACTATCTACTTTATATTAAATTATTTTTTTACATATGTATATCGCAATTTAGACAACAAAAATCGAATAATTCAAAAACAAAACAAAATTTTCTTCTTAAAAAATCATTTTTTTATATTAATTTAATTTAAATTAATTATTATTTTTTGGAAACAAATGATTTAAAA